GGGAAGCTCACTAGGCAATTTTGAACCAGTTACTGATTGTCAGCCTAACCTACATAACAGGGTTGTTGCCAGGAGAAATGGGAATAAGGAGGGCCATGGGTTGGGTTTTTTGCAAGAGCAAAAAAGGAAAGATATATAGAAACACAGAAACAGAGTGAGTCAGAAGGGATCTCCCAGGCCATCTAGTCTGACCCCCGGCTCCAGCTGGCTCTGCTCATGACACGCCTACCATGACATGCATGTAGGCATGTCATGTAATACCAATGTAATACTAAGTAAAATATAAATGATCATAGGCACCTGTCCAGGTGCTTCAAATACATATGGAAATGCCTTGGTCCAGACTAGTACTAGCACAGCCTTGCACATACAGAGGGCCAGAAGGATGAAATGGTTAGAATGCTGGACTGGGGAAATTCTAGTTCTAGTCTCTTTTCAGCCATGAAACTCACTGGGTTGGTCTGACCCACCTCACAGGATTATTGTTGAGAGGATAAATAGGAGAAAAGGAGAAACTTGTAGCCCCCTTGGGTTTCTTGCAAATGAGACAAGGCAGGGCATAAATGTAATGTTACACGAATAACGCAGTCTGCTATTTGCTTGTGTTTTGCTTCATACGACAATTCAAATGTCATGTGTCTTCTGCAGATCTTTGCAAATTGCATGAGCACATTTGCAGGAAGAATGGAAGAGGCTTCGGCATGAACCCTCTGTTCCATATAAACCTGCATAATTTAGATAAACTTATGCAACCTCACTATGAGATTTTTACAAACTAACAAGACAAGTGAAGTGCCCAAACCTGTTGAACTGATCCTACTAGTATGTGTATGGAACTGATCAACACCACTTTGCTCACGCTATTTACCAAGTACATAGAAACATGACCACAGGCAACAGAGGACGTCCTGTACTACTCATGTCACTTATCACTCTTCACAAACAGTCACCTTAGAGCTAGTGCGCTTTATAGAGCATGTTAATATAGAAGAAACTGTTTATACATTCCAGAACTGGTTCTTCACCCTCTTGAAACAACCGACAGTTAACAGATTTCAATCTGAAGTGCTTAAGTCTAGAGGTATAACTAGTAGCTAAAACAGGATAGTAGAAACTCACAAATAAAGGACATGTTTTTGTGCTCAGCAATGGCCTTTCTGCCCTGCTGATGGTTCAACTATTCACTGCATGACCTCTGTGACGTGTGAAAACCATGGATTAGTGATTCTGCAGCTCCACCATGTAATGTCTGCCCAAACTCTTACCGAAGGCAAGGATTACGCTTTATGATTTTGGTCACCACACAGCCTAAAAGTGAGTTTAAGTCATATATACTCTGTCTTGCCCTTAACCTCCCCCACATTAATTACTGAACATATATCCCAACCCCATGATGCTGTCAGTTAAGTGTGTTAAAATACAAAACTACATCAGTGGAGAAATCTATTCCTCTATCTCCCCCTCCTTCAACTAGAAATGGGGGGGGGGTGGGACTTGTGCACCTCCCGATTTGTTGACCTGCAGCTCCAATCATCCATAGCTGAGTATGGTTGATGGGTGTTGTAGACTACAAACTGCTCACACTTGTACTAAAATATGAAGTGATAGAGAGCACTTGGGTGGACATTTTCCAAATTACCTGAGTATATCTGCAGGTAGAAAAGAAGACTCCTCCACATGAACACTCTGTTTGATATAAAACTATGTAATTTAGATGAATTCAAATACACCACAATGAACTGGAATGCAGTCAGCAGGCACTGCATGGGGTAAAACCCTAACACCTCAAATTGGTCTCCTTGCTAGGATGAAAGCACCCTCTGGAGTACAGCACTCCTGGAGGCAGAGGAAAACAGGTTGATTTGGCAGTTGTTGAATTTTTTCTTTTGAGAGGATACCCTCAGATATCCTCCCTGTGGAAGTCTACTAGGAAGATGGTCTTCAGGGTCAGAACCTTACAGAAGAGAAGTCCCTTTTCCCCATTCTCCTGTGTGAATCTTAAGATTTTAAACAAGACACTTTGCTTTCTGAAGTAGCAAAAATGTTCAACTAGACTCCCATTTTACTTCAGGATTGTGAAGGGCAGAACCTCATGCTCTTCCCTTCTCCAGAACCTTCTGATGGTCCGTATCTGGAGTAGATATGTACTGGTGATAGACTTTTCAGGTACTTGGTGATATCCCATAGGTGGTATGTCCAGAAGAACCAATCTCTGGGCACCTTCTGGAGTGAGCAGCCACTTGTTGCTTCCAAGTGCCAGAGAAGTCATGCGACTCCCACCACAAGACAAACTGAACAGACATGCTGGGCTTTTTTCCCTGATGGGATTGCCCTGTGTTCCTTGCTTAGGACTGGGATCCTACTTTCATCTGGGCCTGCTTTCCCTGGGAACATAACTGAATTAAAAGAAGACTTGAAGGCTCAAAGGGCCCTTGTGTTGTTGGCAGGCACTCCGCATCAGCTGGAAAATCCCCCGGCGGAGCTTTTTCGAATAGTGTGAGGTCTAACACATGCTGGCCAGGAAAATGACATGGTCGCACCTTCGGCAGCCCGCTGTGACGACTTTGCCCAGCACTTTAAGGAAAAATCACTCAGATTCACCGCGATCCCATATACTTCCCGTACTGGAACAGTATCAACTGTGGAGTCCAGATCACAGGGAGAGGGACAGGGGGAATGCGTTCTTGTTGGTTCTCCTGGACCTCTCAGCAGCTTTCGATACCATCGACCACGGTATCCTTCTGGATCGGCTGGCTGACTTGGGAGTAGGAGGCACTGCGTGGCAGTGGTTCCACTCCTATCTGGCCAGCCAATTCCAGATGATGGTGCTGAGGGACTATAGCTCTGCACCATGACAACTTTGCCATCGAGTTCTGCAGGGCTCTATTTTGTCCCCCATGCTATTTAACATCTACATGAAACCGCTGGGAGAAGTCATCAGGAGGTTTGGGCTGCAGAGTCATCAGTATGCTGATGACACCCAGCTCTACCTCTCATTTACACCTGCTCCAGGTGAGGCCGTGGCTGTACTGAACCAATGCCTGGCCGAGGTAATGGGCTGGATGAGGGTCAATAAACTGAGCCTCAATCCAGATAAAACAGAAGTCCTGTTGGTGGGCGGTGCAGGTCTCCAGGTAGGTGATTTTGACCCAGTTCTGGATGGAGTAGCACTCCCTCTAAAGGACAGGGTCCACAGCTTGGGAGTACTCCTTGACCCAGAGCTGTCACTGGAGTTCCAGGTGGCGGCGGTGGCAAGGAGTGCTTTCCTACAACTTTGACTGATCCATCAGCTGTCCTTACCTGGATGAGCACTCCCTAGCAACAGTGATACATGCTCTGGTAACTTCCCGCTTGGATTACTGCAACGCGCTTTACATGGGGCTGCCCTTAAAAACAGTCCGAATACTGCAACTGGTACAGAATAGAGTTGCCAGGCTGCTGACAGGAACCGGCTGTTACTCTTACATAACGCCGGTCCTCTACCAGTTCCACTGGCTTCCAGTTGAAGTCCGGGCCCAATTCAAGGTGCTGGTTTTGACCTATAAAGCCCTGAACAGCTTGGGACCAGGATACCTGAAGGAACGTCTCCTTCCTTATATGCCCTCACGCCCCTTAAGATCTATGGGAGAAGCCCTACTCTGGGAACCCTCTCTAAGAGAGGTAAAAAGGTCATCAACTTGGAGTAGAGAATTCTCTGCTGTGGCGCCCAGACTCTGGAATGTATTCCCCAGAGGGGTACACCTGGCGCCAAGCTTATACTCTTTTCAGTGCCAGGCCAAAACCTTTTTATTTACACAGTATTTTAAACTTTAATAGTTTTAAAGTTTGTTTGCTCTGTTTGTTTTGTGATTGTTTTGTTTTGTTTTATTATTTACTGAAATTGTTTTATGAATGAATGAATGAATGAATCCATCCATCCCTCCATCCATCGTTCCTTTGGATGTTTGGTATGGTCTTATTTTTGTCCTTGGTCTCCACCTGGATCTTGCCCAAGAGGTTACCAGATAGCTGTCTGTTGACAAATGGGATGCTCACCAAACTGTCCTTTGTCATTGTGTCAACATACCAGCTGCACAGTCAGTATTCCTCCTCGCCGTGAAACCTGATGCAGCATTTCTGGATCACAGCTGGAAGGAATCCAGAGACAGGAAGGCACTGTCATGCTTGTTTCCTGTACAAATTTCCTGTGCATCCTTCCTCAAGGGCATGTCCTGGAGCAAGCAGTCTGCCTTCATGTAAATGCCTTGTGTGACAGTGGTAGATGTTGCTGCTTCCTGGAGGCACATGGCCAAGATATTGATGCACCTGCACCGAGCTCATGTGCCATTCTGTGAGAAATTCATCCTGTTCCACAGTCATGGACCTTTGAGGTGAGCGCAGCCACCAGTTCATCTGCACTCTGTGTGGTCGTGTCCTGCATGACGTCTTTATGTTGGTGATAAAAGCAGTGACAGTAGCAATGGTTTACCGTAAGGAATGGAGGTCAGGAAGCGCTTCCTCACATGGAGGGGGCAGGATGTGCTTCCTTACACAGAGCTCAGTTAAACTACAGGATTCATTACCCCAAGAGTTATTGATGGCCACCAGTTTGGTTGTCTTTAATAGGAATTCAGACAAATCATGGAGGATAAGGTTATCATGAGTTGTTAGTCAATGGCCACTGCACCTCTATGCCCCAGCCACTGGGGAACAACTCCTCTCTCACTTCTAGGATTCCTACAGGCAGCAGCTGATTAACCATCACACAGCTCTTCTTATCACATTCTGATAGGAGGCAGGAGAGGTTTGCTGTTGCTAGTGTATTGAACACTGAAAATCAATTTAATTAGCCGTGAATAACAATAGCAAAAGGGAACTCCTATCTCTTCTTTATGGCCACACCAGAGAAAAGAAGCAATAGATTCACAGACTTAAGGTTGATCCAGGCTCTTCTGTGTAATGCTAAGCCATCATTTAACGTGACAACTGAATGAAGTCACTAACTCATTAAATGTCCTCACCTTGCCTCATGGATAAACTTCAATGCTTTCTCAGTATACTTTGCAGCTAGGCTGGTTAGGTTCACAGGCTGCTCAATGATTGCAAGATTTTCAAAAAGAGGAAGTGCAATATCCGGATAGCAGTCTTTCTGGTAGTTACTAGAGGAAAACACAAAACATCCTTTAAACAGAATCTACTTTAAAAACATGTATTAACCATTTTCTTTCAATGGTACATTTAAAGAACAGCCATCTATACAAGAATGAGGTTTATAAAATTATAAACTTTGTGGAATCAGTGAACAAAAAGAAATCAGTCTCTCTCTCTCTCTCTCACACACACACACACACACAAAGAGGGAGGGGAGAAAATACTAGAATTCAAAAAAGTTGAATGGCAGATGATCCACGACAAGCAAAACAAAGTATTTGCTCACATAGCAAATATTTGACATATAGCGTTCACAAACAGGATATGATGGTCACTGCCTAGGAAAGCTGTAAAAAGATGACATTAATTTATGAAGGACGGATCATTCAACAGCTATTAAATATGGAGGCTAAATGGCCTTATTTGGACACAATATCATATAGGAAAGGGAAGAGGAACTGATTTTGATTTTGGAGAAACCCTTGAGGACAGTAGTGGACAGAGGTAAAGACACATTTAGTAGCCACACAAGGCTACTAGTCTGTTTGGGGGAAAAGAGAGAAAACTAGTGCACAGAAGAAATGGCATGGAATAGGCTGAAAGAGGAGATGGCTGGCTAGCCAACTGAACAGGAACAACCTACTCTTTTGTTGCAGGTACCCCATTTCTACCTCTGCTACCCCTATGTTGAGAATAGACAACAGGAATAGTTATCACTAGAATTACCTAGCCATCCATTTCCCAGCAGAATCTGATTTCCGCTGATAAACACACAGCACTGAATGAGACAGTTCCTTGGCCAAATGCAGTTTTTATGTTCTTATGAATGAAAAGAAAAATATCCCTTTCTGATAGGAAAAGGAAAGAACTAGATAAGCTGCTTTGACATCACTGGGGGTAGGGGTGGGGGTGAAATCCTCCACTGATTCAAACAAGTTTCAGATTCTATGAATCAGCCCTGCAAATTCTGCAATGGACCAGCTTTTTCCAGATTGTGCAGAGTTCTGGACATTTTAAACTTTTGGGTGGATTTGTGCAAATGAGCACTTGCACTAATGCACATTAGAACAAATGGAATTTGCAAGCAGGAATTAAGTTTGTGCACATCTAAAAAAACCCCAGAATTCATCAGTGATCAGAACAGAACAAAATAATCCACAAAACACAAACAGAACAGACTTAACAAAATCCTAGCACTACCAGTCAATACTAGCTAGTTTGTCTTTCTTACAATTGATTTTTTTTTTTTTTTAGCGGGGGAAGGAGGCAAAAAGAAGAGGTAGGAAAAAGAACAGCAGGGCTAACATGAAAGACATCGGACTCTATATAAATTCTTGAATAAGGCACTAACTTTTTACACTAAAAGCACCACTGGAAAGCAGCCTGGGACACAGTCATTTCCCCAGCACCATTCCCATGACTCCTTTCAGATGGAGTAGCCCTGACACCACATTGCTGCAAAGAGCTTCTGCATATCTTTTCAGTGATGGGGAGAGGGGAAACAAGAACTCTGTCTATGTAGAAGTGATGCAACCGAAGAGCCACTTTCTAAACTGAAGGGAAGAAAAGACAATAGTGCCAAGCGCACTCCTTGGAGTCTACACATGACCTTAGTTTGGAAACAATGAGTCCATGATACAGGTCAGGGCTCCCAAAACATTCAATCCATTATCCAGTGGACCAAACTGGCCCTTATGACAGGAAAGAGGGAGATGCAAGTGACAAAGACCCCACTGAGCTTCAGACTAGAAGACGTCAATCCAGGAAACTAGCATGCATCATCACCAGAGAAGCCATACCTTCTTGCTGTGGGACCGTGGGGGCAAGCAGGGCAGGGAGGGAGGTCATAGCCTGGTGTGTCGGTGCAGCCCATATCATGGCTATAGGGTATCCCAAAGTAGTAATCAAAACCTAGAATTAAAATAACAGTATTAGGATATACAGAGAAACTCATTATTCTTTTATTAAAAATTCTTTTACAACAGAGTAGTGCAACCTTTCCAGGCCTGTGGGTCATGACCAGTGTCTGTTGGGGGCCAGAGACAACCCATGCATGTACCCACATGCATATACTGTGCATCACTAGCAGAGCATTCAGCTTCTTCAATATGGATCTTTTCTGTTGTACGAAAACAGAACACAGTCATTCAACACAACCAGTACGAAGCGAAGCGTTGTGCCGTTGTGCATTGTGCGTAGTGTTCTCAGAAGTCAGAATGAGCAGCATGTACACCCACAGATAAGCAGGACATGTCTCTGCATATCTACTCAAGAGTGAAAAGAACAAGCCTATGCAGAAAAAGCCTCAGAAACAGGCCTGCTGGATCACTCAGCAGCTTCCTCCACAGGTGTTGTCCTCTCTGCCCAAGAGGGAAAAGTTCTTATCTCTGATCAGCAGCACCTTGAAACAGACTGCCTTTTTCAGTCCTTGGCATAGAAAAAGCTTTCATCTCTGATCAACAATTGATTGAAGATAAAGTTTCCCTTCCTGGACAAGGTTAATGGGCAGGGAAGAAGTTGACAAATGCATTGGATGCATTCAGGGAGAAAGTGGGAGGGGTGCCACTGGTCTTCCAGCCTGCACTGGGAGTAGTCAATGGTAGCATATGACAGAGGCTTGTGTACTCCTGTCTTAAATTATAAATATTACTGATTTTATCAATTCAGGCCACAACAACAGTGTTTCTACTGAGCAGAATAATTGCCTAAGCTCAAGCACTGATGACTCAATCCAGATAGGCAAATCTCCAAATCTCAGGGGTCATATGGGAGAAGTAAGAGCCCCTGAGCAGCATTTGAGTGCAGCTTCATTGCATTCACTCCCTTGCTAGAAAGCGAAATACAGGTTAAAGATACTGTTTAGCCTACTCCTCTCTAGTGTTCTTACAAAGACCCAACACATGGGATTTTCAAAATCTACTAGATCTAGAAAAACCCAAAGCCATCTAATGAATCAATGATGCAGTGAGGATTCACAACAGATTATTTAATGTTTTTAAAAAAGAACCCCACCATGATTATGAACCATGGGTAAGAGAGGAACCTGGAGTGCCTCTTGCACAGGTATCAGTGCTGACATGCCCCTTAACTGGAGGAAGGAGTTTGCTTCAGGGAGGGAGCCTCTTCTAGATCTCTTCATTGTAGCTTAAGGCTAAAGGAATTGGCCCATTAAGTCCTTGCTCTTGTTGCTGAGATATCTGAGTTATGCTACTTGACATTGCAATTGAGGATTCACAAAACCGAAAGCTCCTCCATAAAAATAACTTGCTCTCCATATACAAAATCAGTACATCAGGAACAGGCTCGATTCTAGCCTACCATTTTCACTCAGGTTTCTGTACAGAAGGCACATTTTAATAGGAAATCACTCAGTCTCAAGAGCCCTCCCCCATTAGGAAACACAAATGGAATAGCCCCGCCACCCATGAAAAATGCCTCAAACTGCAATGTCAGAGGAAAAGTGGATGGAATCCTTACCACGAAATCTGGGATGAAAAGGACCACTGTGCCCTAAGTGCCATTTCCCTACAAGAGAGCATCAGGAGACACTGTCAGACAAATCATATTACTATACACAAGACATCAAATTTAAAAGTGACTAAAGATAATATTGTGAATGTTTCAACAGAAATTTTCCCAGCAGCAGGAGACAAAGCTGCACAGCAGCTTGTGCTTGTAATTCGTGCACAGAGCACATGTCACTATGACACTCCAGTGCCTATTCCTTGTGAACCAAAAGGTCTTGGGAACTAAAGAACACTAATGGCAAAAAATGTTATATTCCAAAGGGCACAATAGACACCAAAACAAATTATTTGGAGTAAAGGCTAAACAAAAAAAAAAAAAAACCCCCCCCCCTGGGTATAAGGCGGGGGGGGGGGGGGGAAGAATCTAAATGTGCAAACTTAATACTGCTGTCTTAAGGATATCATGTTATACATTTTAAGGCCTAATCGCTCCTATCACTCTGACAACTGCACATGACTCATCCTGGAATTATTTCCTTCCCTGCAGAAACAGTGCAGAGTAGCCTTCCCCTGCTTGATGCCCTCCAGATATTTTGAGCTGCAGCCCCAGCACCCTGGACCGCAGATGACTGGAGCTGAAGGTTGCAGAAAGCCGCTTGGGGAGCGGCAGGGGAGCCGACGCTGAGTGTCCTTACGGGTGGAAGGGGAAATGGCTCAAGGTTCTGGAGGAGCCTGAAGTACTCATTCTACTTTCCACATCATCATCAGCCTCTTTTTAGAGCCTCAAGCTAGCAATACAACTGCTTGAATTCTGAACGGCAGCAATGTTATTTGGAAGAGCATAGTTCTCTTTCAGCTCGACGCTTCGTGTATGGTTACATGTTTTAAAAAGCCCTCATAGCATCAGAGAACCGGTCCACCATGTGTGGTAGATCTCATGGCTGAGCACCCAGTAAGGCCTGGCCACCAGATCTATCACGGCAGGCGGCCTGGCCTGGCCTCTGCGAAATGGGTGACCAGGTCCACCCCTCTGCTGTTTCTCAGTGGACACACCAGGCATCCAGCCAAAATGTTCCACCCACAGCTGAGACCCTCCCTCTTTCCGTATCCCCTTCACCCTCGAAAGGGGTCAAGAGCAAGGGTGTACTGGGCAAAGGGGCAGGAGGGACAGGGCAGGCTGGCCTACTCAGCAGGCAAGGCGTGACAGAGTCAGTCGGCTTCAGAGAGGAAAGCGCTCATTATTCTCGAACTGTGTGGACGCAGCCTCAGAGGCAAGGCTGGCACTCAGACAGACGTCAGGACAGGTGCCACTTGGGCCCCTGCAGGAGCGAAAGCTGCCGGGCTTCCACAGAGCCACAGTCACAGACCTCAGAGTGATCCCTCTGGATCCAGAGCTGTTCAATTCCCACAATGATAATACTATTATGTAGCCACCACATAACACTAACAGAATGCTAGGCATCATTCACTTGTGTCAGCTTTTCACTGAACAAATTGCAAAGACTATAATTAAATCTACATGTAACAAAGATTAGGAATCTGCCTCTGTACTAGAAAACCATCCATGAAGATCTGATCTTCAGAGTTTAAAAAAAAAACAGGTTTCCAAAGTTACAATACAAAATCCTTGTTTTACTAATTGATATAGAAGGTTATTCTTAAATCTTGAGAGTTCCCAAACTTTCCAGATATAATCCAAAAATAGATGTAAGCCAACCTACTGATAATATCTCTGAGCACCTACAATAAAATGCATACAAATAGCTAAACATAAAGGCAGGTTAGTCTTCCCTCTGCAGTGGATTAAATTACCTATCACAGCAGTGAGGTAACCAGCTTCCTTCAGGACTTCTGCTATTGTAGTCTCATTCAATGGGAGGCCACCCACAGATGTCACTGCAAAATTGTGGGTCACTCCATTGCGAAGGCCAAGACGTCCTGTAAGGAGAGAAGCACGTGATGGAGAGCAAGTGGATGCCGCCGAATGAAAATCCACAAATCTAGAGAAGGGGGAAATGAGAGACGTTTCATAATTTCTTACCATTTAATGGCTCAGTTTGCACAATGCTGGCAATGAGCCAGTGTGCTAGTTCACACAGCTTGATCTCTCCTGCCAGCAAGAACAACTAAGTAAGTCACAGATACTCTGCTTGGCTGAGTGAGGATGGAGACAGGGTACACATCTCTGGAATAAGACAGATTAGTAGTTCACAGAAGGGAGCTCTGCTGAACTGCTCCAGCCTGGAAACGTTTACTTCCACTAATTTCCAGGGCGAGCTTCAATGTAGAAGCCCTACTGCACAAGTAGGGATCCTGTGAGTTCAACAGAACCAGTGAAATACTGGGGCCCTGCTGGATACTTCCCAAAGGCTATACTCTGTGTGTGTGTGTGTGTGTGTGTGTGTGTGTGTGTGTGTGTGTGTGATGAATTTGCCACACTGCATTTCCGTAAGGATTGTAGTAATTCATGCCAAGCTAATAACTTTTGGTCTTTTAATTTTAAGCCTTAAGACAACACTCTCATTTTAATCACCTGTTTAAACATTCGGAACAACATACAATTATAATAAAAAAAAAACAAGCCCCGCAACCACCGTGGAACCCATTTATCAAGGACTTTTATGCCTCTGGGGTCTATAAAATAAAGCTGCCTGAGGAACTTTATGATGGAAATCCGTGAGTGATCTAACACAGTTTTGCAAGTGAAAGCAAAGGAAAATAAAGGCTGACATGATTAATTTCAGGGGAGAGGAATTATTTCATGTGAAGTAGACTTCATTGTGAAAATACTGTATGCTACAGTGCTTCATATTGTGGTGCTGGAGGAGACTCCTGAGAGTCCCCTGGACCGCAAGGCGATCAAACTGGTCAGTCCTAGAGGAGATCAACCCTGACTGCGCTTTAGAAGGCCAGATACTGAAGATGAAACTCAAATACTTTGGCCACCTAATGAGAAGGAAGGACTCCCTGGAGAGGAGCCTAATGCTGGGAACAATAGATGGCAAAAGAAGAAGGGGACGGCAGAGGATGAGCTTGAGTGGACTCCGGGGGATGGTGGAGGACAGGAAGGCCTGGAGGAATGTTGTCCCTGGGGTCACGATGGGTTGGACAGGACTTCGCGACTAACAACAGTGCTTCATAAGAAAGTGTAAAGGTTTTGGTTTGGAGGATCCTCAGTTAGATGAACGCCTGCTGAAAGGGTAAGGGCATTTTCTTGTGCTAGTACAATAGTGCCCTTGATGATTCACTGAGAATTAGTACAATGCAGTACAACGCAAAATTGGTACAGTACATTGGTACAATGCAGTAACTTAGAGTGTGAGCTAGGTAACCCCTGGCTAAAAATCATACCATGAGCACAAACTCATCAATGAACTTGTCAAATCACATTGGCTGAGTTCAGACAATCTAGCAAGCCAAGGTGATTGTTCACTATTCTTTGTCTGTTGTGCTGTATGAACCAATCAAGGTATTTCACTGTAGTAAGCTTGATCTTTAGAAATCACAATAAAAAAACAATGGTTTGCACTATGGTTTCTCTGTACAACCATGGCTTGTCATGTTATCTGATAACCTCAGGCCATGTTCCAGTCTGTCTAGAGTTGCAGTTTTCAGATTTACCAAAGCCCTTGGCATCTTTAGCGTCTCTTCTTAATGTTATATGTTTAAAAATCAGATTTCTGCTGAGTTAATCGACTATTTTGAAGACAGTGATGGCAATGTTGACTCTTGATCCATTCAGTGAGAAGCCATTAAAGCCTTTATACAGCGTTATATTATTGCCTAGGTGTTTTATAACAATATTTTTAAATTTAAAAAATATAAAAAGTATTTGTTTACACAACACTGAAATTTCTTAGGACCTAGTTAGCCATTTCCCCAATTACTCAAAGTTATCAGGAACTACAGAAAGTTAAATATGAGTTCAATAATATCCTTACATGTCAGACTAAATTACCATATTTTTCGCTCTATAAGAGCACCTGACCATAAGACGCACCTAGTTTTTAGAGGAGGAAAACAAGAAAAAAATATTCTGAATCAAATGGTTTACTAAACTATTTAATAAACTATAACAGAATACAGTAATACCATATTTCAACCTTGTAAAGTGAACAGCAGTCAACAGTGGCATTAAGAACCATCATCACTGTCATTAACAAAAGAGAGACTTTAAAGTTCGAGTACTCTTCTAGTTTTTGTTAAACCCATAGAACTCATCATCACTAGAGTCAGAATTTATGAAGCTCTGTTGCTCACAAACATTGACATCACTTTCTTAATCAGTAGTGGAATTACTGAAGGAATCCACAATCTACACCAGTTATACAAGAGCTGCTGCAGACAATTCAATAAGAAATCTAAAAAAGCCAGTAATGTCCACGCTGCCCTACTAGTAAATAATAGAAAAAAACTTCTGACAAAAAATGAGATATTGTACGGTAAATCAAACACACAGCGGACTAAGTAGCCTTTGAAGAATAAACTTCATACACGAAGGTAATGCTGTTCAAATATCCACTGATCATAAAAAAAATGTGTCTGATCAACTAACAGATAACTGATCCATGGAAAGCTTCCTGATAATCACAGGCACATTCCCCATCACTTCCCCATGGGCTTCATTAAAAGACGGGTTGCCATTTGAAAACACACACCGACCTGTGATTAACAGCTCCCACCTGCGCTGGAGGAGGGGGCGGAGCAGGGAGCGCTGAGCATGTGCCGGCCAGGTGGTGCCACGTGGGGCCGGCAGCGTGCCAGTGGCAGGTCTTCCCGGGCGGTGGGGGTGAGCAGTCCATCTTTCCGTGCGGCCGGCGGGTTAAAGCCCATGGCTCCTCCTCCTCCGCACCTCTCCCCCTGAGCGGCACAGCTCTCACCTGCGCTGGAGGGAGGGGCGGAGCAGGGCGCGCCGAGCACGTGCCGGCCAGGTGGTGCCACGTGGTGCAGGCGGGCTGGCAGCATCTCGGGCGTCGGGCACACACACATTTGCTCTATAAGGCGCACAGACATTTCCCCTTACTTTTGAGGGGGGAAAAAGTGCGTCTTTTAGAGCGAAAAATATGGTCGTTTTAACCTGTTCATAACAGGCATATTGGGGAAATAGCTAGACTGCACCCTTCCCAGCTTTAAACTCTGATAGACCAGACAGCATGTGATTGTTTCTTTGGATACTTGGACAAAATTAACTGAAAAATTATTTCTGATACATTACATAATTTTGGTTTTCCTGACATATTTTTGAAATGGGTTACATTTTTCTGTTCAAGCCATAGAGCTAAAGTTATAACTTAAAGTCTTTTTCCATCTTTCTTTTTTCTTGGGAGCGGTAACAGGCAAGGATGTCCACTCTCTCCATTGATAGTTGATTTACATTTGGAATCTCTCAGACATTAGACTAGTAGAATTCAAAGCCTTTTGTGTGATAGTTTAGAACTTTAAAAAGTTCATTATGCTGAAAATTTCTTACTATCTTACTACCTATCTCACAACTCCTGGTGTCTACTGACACAGCTGATTAATACTTTTGGTGATCTGTCTGGCTATTCAATTAACTGGTCAAAATCTAACTGATGGCAGCTGGAGACAATATACTGTATAGTGTATTAGGTAACTGACAATTTCAGTGATGCCTGAATTCCACTACTTTTTCAGGAATACTTGTTCCCAGGGATATATGTCTAACAATTAATGATTCAGTTACCCAGAGGAGGGCAACAAAAATGATCCAGGGTTTGGAAACACTGCCCTATGAGCAGAGACTGAGGGAACTGGACATGTTCAGCCATGAGAAGAGAAGAGACGATTGAGGGGGGGGGACATGATATCCCTCTATAAGTACCTCATAGGCTGTCACAAAGAGGAAGGTCAAGATCTCTTCCTGCTGATACCAGAAGGTAGGACACAGAATAATCAATTCAAATTGCGACAACCCAGATTCAGGCTGGACATCAGGAAAAGCTTCCTCACTGTCAGAGCAATACAACAGTGGAACCAGCTGCCTAAAGAGGTGGTGGGCTCTCCCACTCTGGAGATATTCAAAAAGACACCGGACAGCCATCTGAGTGGGATGGTGTAACATGGTGTCCTGCAATAGCAGGAAGTTGGACTCGATGACCTTCATGGCCCCTTCCAACTCTACTATTCTATGATTCTAAATATGAACAAACTGACCAACGAGAATTCATGGGATACAGACAGATGGGAATCACTAAAATTGTGTTTGTGGAGTAAAGTTAACATACTTAAGATGAATTATTATGCCTCTGTCTATGTTACAGTTCCTATCTGCCAATATTTTCCAAAACTGCAGCTTGGTTTTGTAAAAATGGGGGAGGGGGGTCTCATCAAGGAAGCTGGGCTCCTCTCATCAAGGAAGCTGGGTTTTACTTTCCAGTTCTTTGTATCACAATTTACTGTCTTTTACTGTATTTTTGTGCTTTGTATTTCAATTAAAATTTTCATTTTGGTCTGTTCTAAAATCTTCCTATCTAGATCCTCTTCCCAAATGGATGGGACTAAGCTCTTAGCATACTGACATGGTTAGGGTTCATCCCACAGTGTAGTTGTTAGAGATCTGTGGCAGATAATTACACTTTGACCCATTTCCACATGCTAAAATGACTTCATGATCGAATCCAGATATAAAAATAAATGTTTTGTTGGTAGACTTAATATGGATAAGTTGAATTTTAGTTTGGATCAATTAAGGATAGCTGAATGTGAGTTTTGTCATATTTGGATTTGCATGTCAAATACCATTTCTTGCTATGGGAAACAGCAGTACTGGCAATTGCAACTTTTGCTAGAATCTAGGCATGGCGGTGGAGCTTTTACAAGTTGATCCATGATCGATACTTTTAAAAGGACTAAAGGTCTAAAAAGCAGAAATGGAATAGGGAATTGGATTGTCTTATTCAGTCTATTCAATGGATTGGTATTCTAGCATCTGTATCTGAAGTAGATCTCAGGTTACAGTTTATTCAACAAAAACTTGTGTGTTTACTGAACACCTCAATGTCTCTTTAAGAAGGGTTTGTCAACATTGCCTAACTGCTGAAGATGTAGTACTGCTAATGCTTCCTTTAACTATACTGTATTTTTAGCAATGTCCAGTTGGGAAGAGGTTATAATATAGATAAGCTTTGTATTGGAATGCTCTTTAATCTTCAGTGACACATCTCTTAAATTATCTGCCTCCTTTGCAAAAGTTACTGCATGGTCAACAGGAATAAATTATCTGCATCCTTTTGATAGCTAAAAGACTAATATTATAACATTGGAAGAATAAACATCCACCTTCTATACTGCAATGAAATGCACTGCTTGCAGCATTTGAACAGACATTACTCCGTTACATTACTGTACATGGACATTGGGTCTCTTTTTGTTTAAGTTTATATGTGACTGCTGCATTCAAATCATTGTGCGTACACACAAACACTTTTTTATTTTTTATGGCTTTGTTTTGTTGAAACCTGAAATAAAACTAGATTTAAAAATGCCTAATTTTATATTGTAATTTGTTTTTATATTGTACTCTACTAAACTGTTGGAAAACTACATTGTGCTTGGCCATGTTTAAGGAAAATATTATAATTAGCAGAAAGAAAGCTGGTCAGCTGAAGTAATATTTTTTATCAGCCGCTCCCCAGGGTTTGTGTACGTGCCACAATGATATGAAGCAACTAAGTTCAAGATGAAAATGTAGGATAAAAATGTGCACAATAAGCAAACAGAAGTCCAATCATTGTTGCTATCTTAGCTCTGACTTAAAATTTGCCTGGGCAGGTTTTACAAGTCACTGCTGACGTCTTTGGAGAACCTATAAACTCAAGGGCATTACTAAAATCCTAAAAACACAGTCATCCTAAAAACAGAAATTTTAATTAATAGGGTACCTCTTTGCATGAAAATATGTCATAGCTTTTAATAGAAATCAAACAAAAATGCCTGTAATTAGTGAACAAACTGCATTTATTACACAGGCAATTGCTCTGACCAAGTTCTGAGGGAGATGCTAACACACCTTGGGAGCTCATTCTATTATAAATTTTAGTTTTAACACAGACTTCCTCAAACCTGGTACTCTCCAGATGTGTTGGACTGCAACTCCTATCATTCCTGGCCAGCAATGGCCATTGTGGTGCTTACTAAGCAGAGGGAGGTTGTTTTAATCTGTCACAAAATCCCTCCTCTTTTTCGTTAAAAAACAAAACAAAACACAAAGCTACCCCTCTACCAATTGAAATATTCTGCTGGACAAGCTAACTGACCTCCGAAATAAACAGGAATTAGAACAGCTAAGGAAGCGGTGGCATTACACCATCATTTGGCTTTTCCTCTCCCAGAAATGTTTTTCTCATGGTTGTTCAACCTGGTCATGTTGTAACCGAAAAGCTTTAATCTCTGAATGAGCTTGGTTTCTTCCGTCCTCTCCTGATCATTTTCCTTTTACAAGGAATCTTTTAGCTCTAGACCATTTTAAAGAAATCTTTGTTCAACACCTAGAAAATGTTAGGCGTTTTATAAATAACAACGTCAACAGTGGGTGTCAAGCATTGGTCTGAAACATACCTCATTCCTTCCGCTGCCATCTTATCCAAGTTAGGAGTGTCTTTTCTCAGGCCCCAGTTGGCCCCAAGATCTCCCCATCCAATATCATCTGCTAAAATTATTATGAAATTTGGTTTTTTGTAGCCTGATATTTTCCAATTCAAAGAGGGTCTTGGAGGGCAATAGTAGCACAGTCCAATGAAAAGAACAGCCAGTCCCAACAGCAGTGCTTTAAAAAGCAGAATATCCATGGTATCAGGAACATACAGGAGTCACATCACAAATGTTGGCAGTTACTTAACACAGCCCTCAATTTTTTAAAAAACCCCTTTTGTTGCTTTTTTCTGAGGTGATATAAAAGTATTCCATATTGCCTTAAGCATCTCCTTGGTTCTGCAGGAAAAGAAATCAAAAACAGAAATTGGAAAACCATGGAACTAGTAGCTGTGGTTACTACATGATTCAAGCAGTGTGGGCTGCAGATTATATGAGGTCTGTAGAGGGCTGACCTGCACTGGTAGCATCAACAGTCATTGCTTGTGCTGGTGGTGGAGCCCTCTGCAAATGCTCTCACCGCATGGAGAGATAAGTAGTAGAACTCACCAGAAATTCATAGGAGACAGAGCCCCAAATGCATAAGTAGACTTGTCCAATGCTACAGCAGCTCTATCTTAGCCAACTACAGGTGGTAAGCAAGAATATGGTGAATATGCTGATTCTTTGGATGCAGCAACTCATCTTCAGAAAAAGTTAACCGTATTCAAGCTCACTGAAATAAGTAGTAAGACACTTCCCATAAGTGACTAAATGACTTACTTGAAGTGAGTCCATCATAGGACCAACATGCAACTGTCTAAAGGCTGAGAACATCCTGTTGAATCACTACCCAACTTTTTTCTTGGCAGCAAAGTTCTCTCCCTCTTCCTGCCCACAGTGAATGCCCAGGAGGAATGCAGTGATCAGGAGTGGCCATCCTGTCTTGCTGCTTCTCACAGTGGCTAAACTCACAATGATGGGCGAGCCCTACCCATCAAAAGGCTTAAGGGATGTGGAAAGCCTTTGGATGATCACATGTCTGGCACAAAGTCAAGCCTCTCTTTGGCCAGCTGAGCAGCACAACCCACCCTCAATTGCAGGTTTACCTCACACAGCAGGTAGCTACACTCTAGGGGACCAGGAAAGAATTCTGTTATGTCATCATGGCTGTGGATAGGCACTTTCATCTCCTTCCTCTGAGTTATGTTCTTCTGATAGTTTATAGCAGTCCTACCCAACCTAGGAACATGCTGCCTGCAGGATGGTAAGAGTTGCAGACTAAAACATGCAGCCACTGCCAATTACCCCAAAGTGTTGGGTGCTTCTGGGGCAGCTGGCACCAACATGACCTGGAAGAGCTTGGCCAGGGTAGCAAGGAATTGCTGCATGGCCTGAACCCAGGTGACTGGTCCCATCATGCACCCCAGGAACTGGCTAGTTTCTTGGCAAAAATAATTTGGAAACACCCACTGCTCTTGCTGCATGTCTTATCAGCCAATTCCAGGTATTCACACTGCCAATCACCTAGGACTGGACAACACCACAACCTACTCTGGATACAACAACAACTCAAGGGTTGTCAGGATGGCTTGCAGCCCTTAAACAAGACACTCTGTTGGACACTCTGTTACCATGATGGCTTGCATTGCATGACAGCCATCATAACAGCCCACAAGAAGCTGTCAAGCTGAGTCACTGTTTTTCCTTTTTCTTCTTACAGCATTTACATCAGTGTTACTCTCCAAAACTATCAGAATGATTCCGTAATATTATTTATGACATGAGTTAATGATTTGCATTTTCTCACCTTGGCACTGTAAAATAAGGTTAGATTTTCTTCTTTCAGGATATTCATTGTTATTAGACCACCTTCAAATTTTGTTGAGGGAGAGGAACACTTCAATATACCTATACCAGTTTGCCTAGACCAGAAGAAAAAAGAAATCAGAAAGGGACAGAGTAGAGGGTATGCTTTTCAGTTTGATGGATATTAGAACAGAAATGTTAAAACACACGGGAAGATTCCATTTTTGTGGACTTTTCATACACACATACATCAAGACTGAAACAAGGGGGAGGACACAAAACAAGAACAGCTCTTTGTAGTCATCATCACACATCAATTATGTACTTTTGAATTATCTAAACAATCATGCCTGAGCCTGTCTTTGTACCTATTACAATTTTACAGTTACTAGAAAGTCATTTTGTATAAATATGAGTTGTGATGGAAGACAGAATATGTGAGGGTCAGGTCATGCACAAGACACGGAAGAAAGCACAGAAGCTAAGCATACAAATTTTAAATGTACTGAAACACGCAAGGCCTAATGTGCAGTTTGTAAATCCATCTCTCTCCCAGCTCTCCCTTTCTCTCTCCACCCAGTCTTCATTAACCAGGAAGCAAGCTACATACAAACGTTCAGCCTAAGAGCTGCACAAATACACACTCTTGGTTGCTACTGGAGCGCTCCTGCTCAAATCCAGGCCTGGCTCCCGAATGAAGGGCTGACAGAAATGCCAAAGGCCAGCATTCCATCCCATGAGAAACTTGTCTTGGCCTGTTCTTGTAGCCACTATGAGGGAAACCAAACCATGACACAAGCTATTATGAGGTTTCCAGCTGTCTAGAGAAGTGGGGCGAAGGGGCTTAGTTTATCCATGTATGAGATAAAAGTAGCACAAGGCTTCATTTATCTGCCTAATGTGAAAATACCTTAGCCATTTTGAGAGGTAAGTCATGTCCTCTTTATTACAAATGTATTACATTTCTATACTGCCTAACAGTTGTAGCTCTCTAGGAAGAGAATTAAAACTATAACATTTGTCATAAACTGCAACATAAAGTTTAAAACTACTGTATAAAGTGAAAGAAAAATTAAAAGAAAATCTAGTTGCATTTCAAAGATTTAAAATCTCTTGTGATGTTGAGAACTGCAATGTTCTAGTTTTCACATTTTTCTACTAATCAAAGTATCTTAGAGCAATTTGTTTCAAACTCCAGATTTCTAGGTCATATAGGCATTTATGAACTTATAAGTACAGTTCACAAGCTGTAGTCCACATTGCTTTGAAATTGCTTTGTTCTTCGAAACAGCAATTCTAAATCACATTATTCTAGGGTACATTCCTGCAATTTGGGAACATTTGAAAATATCTATACATTGTACTGCCAGAGTAATATTGTTTTAATGATTCCTCCTACCCCCTAATAAATGAAAATTGATGTGGCAACTATTTCTAGAATACAGTTGTTTCAGTTCTTTAAACTTAAATCCACTTTGGAGAGGAAGGTTTTTTGCTGGTTCAAATTCTAGTATACTGTCTTTCATTTAAAGCATTACATTGATAATAATTATGTTATTCAATTGTAAATGATCAATAAAATGTGAATGGCAGCTCGCAGTGCAATTATCTTAACCTTTCTGATATGCTTGCAAGCAAGGCAAATAGTTGTTTACATGACGCCCAAGATTATAGTCTACTGTGTAGTAATGGAAGCCTTATGAATAGGTTCCCAGGGTGCCACAAATGAAGGATCCAAGGTACTTTCCCTCCAGGAAGCCAGCTGAGGATTATATGATTCTTGTCTTTCCTGCATGAGTCCTTGTTAGCTGGATGAACTGGCAGGGACTGGGGAGGACTGAAGAAGCACTGTTCAGATCTAAAACCGCACCACCAGTTCCCACGGTAAAAAGTTGTCAAAAGGTGTACCATCTCCATTTCTACCCAGTTCACGTTTGCCATGGAAGAGTTCTCTACTACAGCAAAGCTTCCCAAACCAACAAACACTTGCAATCAGTAAAAGACATGCACTGGATGCGATTATTTTTCTTCCTTTGAAACCAGAAGATAAACCACATTTATAATACAGAAGAGAGAGAAAGCATTAAGCTGAAAGCTTAAGAAATCAGCATTGAATTTCACAGGATGGCAACAACCTGACCTGTTGAGAACTGGACAAAACCGACAATTTCCAGGGTTGAAAGCTGTTTGTACACAGCCATCAGCACCAGCCTAATCTGCAAGGACAATAAGAATGTTATCAGAGGATGATACTCGAAAAGGGAAAAGCGAAAGAAAGAACCGCTGTGAATATCAAATACAGGGAGACACTGTGAGTAGAAGTGGTTGGAGGTGGGTGGAATGGGCCAGCTAGGACCAGTATTATGACAGATGTTTCCAGTTGTGTATCAATGACCTTGGGGAAAGAATGTGCAGCTGAAGATACAAAAGTGGTAGGTCAACCAACACAAGAGGAGGAGGAGGGGGAAAGAGTGACCTAATTAAATGAGGGGCATGAGTAAAATACTTGCATAAACAAAACAAAACAGAGCCCTGAGATAGCACAGAAAGAAAAAACCTAAGGAAACCCTCTCAGGGCCAAGAGAATTAGGAAGCAAACTGTTTGTCTGCAAACCTTCCAGACAAGTGAGTGTGTGTAACCTTCAGGGAAACAATTGTGGTTAATTAAAGGAACTAAGAGTATTTGGGCATGTGAATTTTTCCTGATTCAATGTTTAAGTAATGCATCCAAAGTCAAGAAGTCTGAGAATGGGTGGGTTGCTGGAGATAAATAAAAAATGCAGAGGGATGCCACCTGCCTCATTACCTCTGCTTAACTGTCTACTTTGCCCTACATTGCTTGTCACAAACACGCATTTGTGGCAGAAGGGAAAAGAAAGAAAAGGAAAAGGTACATACAAAAGAGAAAGGAATATGAGGAGGCCATGGAGGCAGTTTCACTCTTCATTCCACCCCTGCAGGCATACTTCTAACAAGGGTGATCCCAGGGGTTGAGGGATGCGTAGAAAGACAGAGTTGTTGCTAGACCAGAACTTACTTGTCTGTACATTTCACCCTTTCACCAAGTCTCAGCAAGGTGATATTGCCAGCTTAGCCTGATCCTCTGTTAGAACCGTTCTGCTAACGTACCAGTTCCTACAAACACTCAAACTCGGTCCAGGTTCAGTCAGGACTGGCCCAAGACATTTTGCACTCCCCAGAAGCAACATTAGGCAGTTCAAGAAGTGAAACCTAGAACCCCTTGAAATATCACAAGTAACCATTCAGGCTTATATGTGCAACTTTAAGCACATATATAAGAACAACTAATTACATTTTTAACTACAACGTTATTTTTAAATTACATGTTTGCATGAATAATGAAAATGAAAACATCTTCCTGTTGTCAATTTCTCCCTCTCACACTATGTAAAAGGTAT